CACACACAGTCAAACAAAATACACAAAAAAGTATTAAACAGAAAAAAGTAAACAATCCTAGTAATTTGCACCCCCACAGGTGAACTGCTGCCTGAGCCAAATGTAGTTGTTGTGATATTTGATCCCAGCGCACTCCAAAAAGGAATGTAGAATAGTTCTGTGGCGACTGAAACAAGTCAAACATCGCTGTAAACAACCATCAAAACACACGGGCAGGGGATCACGAAAGCCCGACTACTTGGGCACAACAATTATAAACCGTCTCACAAAATAAAACTGTAGACAGGAAAAGATAGCAGTTCCTTAAAGGATCCCAAATAGTTTGTTTAGCTTGTATGTCAGAAGCGTTTGGCCCCATCCACAATATCTTTATATTTTACTGGGCAAATTTGGTTACCAGGAACAGTAATTTCTTGACAAATGTGCAATCATACAGGTGTGGTGAAAAGTTTAGATTCACTCCTTATGGGTATGAGTGTTATGGGAATTTGGGTTTTTAATGATTTAGCTGAACTGTTTTTTGTTTTTTTTACCTGAATGGTATGATTGTACAGTATTGATCTTTAATGACTTTAAAAAGCAAGAATTGGGTGCACACGTTTTTAATTTACTGATGAGAACAAACGGCTATATGGCAGCTGTGTCACTGACAACTGACAATCTAAATGTTCTTGCTTAACAATGACTGTAAAAAAATCAACATTGATCAGAAACTTTTATTCCTCATTTATGCAAACAGATTGAAAATTGGAATTATTTCAAATATACAGTTATGTTGTTTAAAAATGTTCAGTATAAATGAGTTTTTAGCTTCAGCCTAAACTGAAAATGTATACACAATCTGAAGACAAATAAAACAAAGCTCAAAATCAAGATCTTTTTTTTAATTTTTTGTTTTTTATTATTTGTTGGTAATAATTTCATGTGGTCTTTAGTGAACAGTTCCACAAGTTCTTGTTACTCTTCTGGGCTTTTAAATAAAGTGAGTAATCTTCTTTGTAACGCCACCATGTGTCAGGTAAACTTTAGCGTACACATGAAAACATCCTAGAGAAGATATTTGGTCTCTTCAATGGTGCATTTCTTATGAAACTTTTGACAATCTCTTTGTCAACATTTCGGTGGCCAATTTTCATTAACTGCATGACAGTGTTTGGATATTTCCACTTATCCTGGAGTTCATTGTATACTGCCACGCTGACCTCTTCAATGTCCTCCAAGGAGATTTTGAGCTTTTGGGACACAATTTTAGCCCAGACTTTTTGGGCAAGCCTCTGTTTAATGGCTTCATCAGCCCCTAGAGGCAATTTCCCTGCTTCATTTGTATTGCTCATTGCGTGCATAACCAGATCTCTAGCAAAGCGTTCCACAAGTTCTCTGTACTCGTCTCGGTTTTTAGATAAAGTGAGTATTCTTTTGGGTAATGCCAGCAGATGTCTGGTGAATGTTGGGACAGTAATATCATCCTCAAGCTCTTCCTTCAGACTTGAAATCAAATGTTTTTCCTTGCACTTATGCACTTTACAAAGATTGGTGAAAATGGCTTTCGCCATACTGGGCAGCCTCTTTGGACATAGATCCAAATGTTTTCCCTCAATTTCAGGCCAGATTTTCTCCATCAGACGATAACAGTTGGGAATCCTTGTGGAGTCTTTGTGTTTAGAGGAGACTTTCTCTAAGGCCCGTGAAACTACCAACTGAGTAAGTGCATAAACAAACATTTTTTCTGCAGACACATCATCAGATGCCAGACTGATGACAGAAGAAGAATCAACTTCTGACTCATGTACAGCTGGAATCACAGGCTTTTCCACGGGACAAGCTTCTATTTTGTCCCAGTGTTTTGTATCAGCTGTGGACTTTTTCTTCATACAGCTCTTTCTTGGTTCTGCTGTGGTTTGGGATTGTGTGTCCACATGCTGAAGACTTGCACTGGCCTCTGTCTCCAGTTCCGGAGTTTCTGTTTTTTTATTATCAACACAGTTGTCTACAGATATTTCTGTTACCATGTCTTCCTTTGCTGGTGTTACCCCTGTTTTCTCATGGGAATCAGCGTCCACTGACTCAAGACACTCCTCTGTCTGTGTGGACACCGGAGCTCCCTTCTCCATGGTTGTCTCTGTTGCATCCACTAACATGGAGCAAAGTGATGTTGTGGCAGGTATGTCTGCTCTTTGTGAACTAAATGTGTTTAAATGTTGCTCGCTGTTCTGATGCATGAATGCGCTCTGAACTAAATCGCAGGTGTTTATGGAGTTCTGGAGTTCTATTTATAGGCTCGTGTCCTGTAGGCCCCGCCCACTGCCCTTTGATAATTGCCAAGCCCCGCCCACATCGAATGACTGTTGCCTAGCAACCGCTAGATGATAGTAGCACGGATGGGCACAGCCACTGTGACGTCATCCAGTGTTCTTTGATCAAAGAGAAGTAAGTGTTGGCTTTCTTGCCGCTCAGCAATTGATAACAAAGAACCTTGAAATGTGTTTTTAGCTAAACTTTGACACAGCTGCAGGACATTAATAATAATGAGAAGCTACTTAATATATATATATACACACATACATATATACGTATGTATACACATATATACGTATTATGGAATGCCCTTTAGGAAAATATTATATATATATTCCAACCATATATAATATATACACATATATATATACACATATACATATATACACATACATATATATACACACATACATACATATATATACATATACATATATACATACATATATATATAATACATACACATACATAAATACATACATATATATATATATAACAGGGTGTTGTTCTGATGCCCTAAGATGGCAACTGAAACATCTCCCATGTTTGTGAACTTTTGGAAGATTTATTCCCTGGATGATTGTAGAATTGCATCAAGAATGAAACACAAAAGGAAGTCTCACAGCTTTGTGCAGCTCCCCACCGTCTCATGCACGACACCCCCTACTCCCCCCCAGCCATTTGGCTGCTCTCTGGGTTTTAAAGGTAGAAAGGTAGAAGCCTGGGACTCCTAGTGTTAAAATATGCAATTTTCACGTGCGTGAACCAGAAATGTGGGAGGAAGTAGTGCCAGACAGTATGTTTGCAAGATGGCAGCTGTCGATCTAGCGTTTGAAGAGAGAGTCTCCCTTCTCTATTTACTGTGGAGAGCAGAGCAGCGGCGTAAAGGACGTCCTGACCGTACCTGGGTCCATCAGGTCCTCCACGAGTGTGAGCAGTTTGGTGAGTTTCACCACTTGCTCCAGGAGATGCGTCTGGCTGACGGCCACTTTCAGCGGTACCACCGTCTGTCCCTCGCCCAGTTTGAGGAGCTGCTGTCCCGCGTCGGTCCAAGCATCGCCCGCCCAGACATCACAGACGCACGGACGCCGGCCTGCAATTAAATTTAAATCTTGAAAATATCTTAACCCATTGTTGCGACTTCTATCCACAAATAAAGCCGCTGCCGGCTGAGTTTGTTTCTGTACTGTGACGCGTCTCCAATAAGCCATACTAAGTCCCACTTGTGTTTCACGTATTTATTTAAAACTTAAACAATAAACATTTGCTTTCAATCAAAACAAATAGCGCATGTATTAACTTACATCGTTTGTGAGCATTTGTATTTGTATTGAATCTTTATTTTAAACATGTTTAAATAAAAACAACAGGGAAAAAAGAGACAAACAAACAAAAGGAAAACAAAGCAACAATATTTATAAGTAACTTACATGTTCAAAAGGACTAGGAAGAAGCATAAACTTATTTAATCCCACCCCCTTTCCACTATTTAGTAATTAATAGTCAACACTTTTTCTTCCCTCAGAAATTCATTACAATTACATTACATAATGCATGTAATTTTTATTTATTTAACCCCAGTAATACGTCAAAAGATATACAATTTACAGACATATATGCATACTTGTGCACCCACAACACACATATATACACATCACTGTTGTGAAAATAGTGGGTGAACACCCGATCAGAGCCACCTCCTCCCTGATGAGTACGCCTGTGTCACGTAAATAACACGCGATCACCTGAGGTGCAGGAAAATCTAAACACCTGTACCACCACAATAAATAAACAAAACATAAACATTCACTTTGGCTCTTACACTCTTTTTAAAACCATCCATCCATCCATTCGCTTCCGCTTATCCTTTTCAGGGTATTATAATACAATATATAATTGTATTATGTAGTCGTAATATATCAAATGGTAAATGGCCTGTATTTGTATATAGCGCTTTACTAGTCCCTAAGGACCCCAAAGCGCTTTACACATCCAGTCATCCACACACTGGTGATGGCAGCTACATTGTAGCCACAGCCACCCTGGGGCGCACTGACAGAGGCGAGGCTGCCGGACACTGGCGCCACCGGGCCCTCTGACCACCACCAGTAGGCAACGGGTGAAGTGTCTTGCCCAAGGACACAACGACCGAGACTGTCCAAGCTGGGGCTCGAACCGGCAACCTTCCGATTACAAGGCGAACTCCCAACTCTTGAGCCACGTTGTGCTTTGTATATAGTATATATGTTGAATATATATATAATATTCATCATATACGTATATATGTATGTGTGTATATATATATATTAAGTAGCTTCTCATTATTATTAATGTCCTGCAGCTGTGTCAAAGTTTAGCTAAAAACACATTTCAAGGTTCTTTGTTATCAATTGCTGAGCGGCAAGAAAGCCAACACTTACTTCTCTTTGATCAAAGAACACTGGATGACGTCACAGTGGCTGTGCCCATCCGTGCTACTATCATCTAGCGGTTGCTAGGCAACAGTCATTCGATGTGGGCGGGGCTTGGCAATTATCAAAGGGCAGTGGGCGGGGCCTACAGGACACGAGCCTATAAATAGAACTCCAGAACTCCATAAACACCTGCGATTTAGTTCAGAGCGCATTCATGCATCAGAACAGCGAGCAACATTTAAACACATTTAGTTCACAAAGAGCAGACATACCTGCCACAACATCAACTTTGCTCCATGTTAGTGGATGCAACAGAGACAACCATGGAGAAGGGAGCTCCGGTGTCCACACAGACAGAGGAGTGTCTTGAGTCAGTGGACGCTGATTCCCATGAGAAAACAGGGGTAACACCAGCAAAGGAAGACATGGTAACAGAAATATCTGTAGACAACTGTGTTGATAATAAAAAAACAGAAACTCCGGAACTGGAGACAGAGGCCAGTGCAAGTCTTCAGCATGTGGACACCGGAGCAGACATACCTGCCACAACATCAATTTGCTCCATGTTAGTGGATGCAACAGAGACAACCATGGAGAAGGGAGCTCCGGTGTCCACACAGACAGAGGAGTGTCTTGAGTCAGTGGACGCTGATTCCCATGAGAAAACAGGGGTAACACCAGCAAAGGAAGACATGGTAACAGAAATATCTGTAGACAACTGTGTTGATAATAAAAAAACAGAAACTCCGGAACTGGAGACAGAGGCCAGTGCAAGTCTTCAGCATGTGGACACACAATCCCAAACCACAGCAGAACCAAAGAAAAGCTGTATGAAGACAAAGCCCACAGCTGATACAAAACACTGGGACAAAATAGAAGCTTGTCCCGTGGAAAAGCCTGTGATTCCAGCTGTACATGAGTCAGAAGTTGATTCTTCTTCTGTCATCAGTCTGGCATCTGATGATGTGTCTGCAGAAAAAATGTTTGTTTATGCACTTACTCAGTTGGTAGTTTCACGGGCCTTAGAGAAAGTCTCCTCTAAACACAAAGACTCCACAAGGATTCCCAACTGTTATCGTCTGATGGAGAAAATCTGGCCTGAAATTGAGGGAAAACATTTGGATCTATGTCCAAAGAGGCTGCCCAGTATGGCGAAAGCCATTTTCACCAATCTTTGTAAAGTGCATAAGTGCAAGGAAAAACATTTGATTTCAAGTCTGAAGGAAGAGCTTGAGGATGATATTACTGTCCCAACATTCACCAGACATCTGCTGGCATTACCCAAAAGAATACTCACTTTATCTAAAAACCGAGACGAGTACAGAGAACTTGTGGAACGCTTTGCTAGAGATCTGGTTATGCACGCAATGAGCAACATAAAGGGGTTGAAGAAATGGCGTCCAGCTGAAGAAGTTATACAGAGGCTTACCGAAAAGATCTGGGCTAAAATTGTGTCCCAAAATCTTGAAATCTCCTTGGAGAACATGGAAGACCTCGCTGTGACAGTATACAATGAACTCCGGGAAAAGTGGAGAGGTGCTGACAATGTCCTGGGGTTTATGAATAATGGAAATCCAAGACTTGACAAAATGATTGTCAGAATTTTCAAAAGTAAGGCCCCATTGAGAAGACCAAATATCTTCTCTAGGATGTTTTCATGTGTACGCTAAAGTTTACCTGACACATGGTGGCGTTACAAAGAAGATTACTCACTTTATTTAAAAGCCCAGAAGAGGAACAAGAACTTGTGGAACTGTTCACTAAAGACCACATGAAATTATTACCAACAAATAATAAAAAACAAAAAATTTAAAAAAAAGATCTTGATTTTGAGCTTTGTTTTATTTGTCTTCAGATTGTGTATACATTTTCAGTTTAGGCTGAAGCTAAAAACTCATTTATACTGAACATTTTTAAACAACATAACTGTATATTTGAAATAATTCCAATTTTCAATCTGTTTGCATAAATGAGGAATAAAAGTTTCTGATCAATGTTGATTTTTTTACAGTCATTGTTAAGCAAGAACATTTAGATTGTCAGTTGTCAGTGACACAGCTGCCATATAGCCGTTTGTTCTCCTCAGTAAATTAAAAACGTGTGCACCCAATTCTTGCTTTTTAAAGTCATTAAAGATTCAATACTGTACAATCATACCATTCAGGTAAAAAAAACAAAAAACAGTTCAGCTAAATCATTAAAAACCCAAATTCCCATAACACTCATACCCATAAGGAGTGAATCTAAACTTTTCACCACACCTGTATGATTGCACATTTGTCAAGAAATTACTGTTCCTGGTAACCAAATTTGCCCAGTCAAAATATAAAGATATGTGGAGGGGCCAACGACTTTGAACATTACCATACATAAAACAAAACTATGATCTCTTTAAGGTCTGCCAATATCAAACATTAAAATAGTTGACAGCAAAGGGTCCACAATTAAAAAGTTTTTCTAGCAATACAAAGTCCTGTGTCACCCCTAAGGTTCAAACATGTAAAGTGAAACACACACTTGTTTCATAGCACATGAAAATAAAAACTAACTAACTATTAAATCATGATACATCCTAAGTGCAGAGCCAGCACTGGATAGTTCAGGTGTACTATAATCAAGCGGTAATGACAAGAACTGCTAAGATACCAAGAACATACCCACAGAAACAAACAATGCTGTTACCAATATTTTTATCTGTACGATATCAATGGAACTGATAATATGAAATATTAGTCAGATATTGCTTTTTTTTCCCAGTATGAATATAAAAAGAAATAAATTAAATAATTACTGAAGTGTATGCAGTTAGTTACAGACAATTGCAGCAGTGAAATTCTGGTTTGCATTTCTACTTTTTACATTCACTGGAATCCTCATCTATAACATCTGATTAGAAAATTACCTCATGTTTAACATTTGGCTGGAAAAAATAAGTAAAAGTAATGAAAAATGTGAGGGCTGATTTGAGTATCCTGGTTTCTTCCAGTGCGTATTTCCATATCAAATCTAACTGAGGCACCAGCTATACCACATTTCTCTCTTACTTAATGATGACCTGTTCATCAATGTGATCTGGCTTATGTGAACTCGCACTACGCCTTAAAATCTTGGAGTCTCTCTAAAATGTAAGAATTGTTCTCCTACATATTCATGCCCCATCTTAGCTTAAAGATCTCACAGTGCTGTATAACCCCAGCAGAGCACGGAAGCTCCTTCCATTCTTTCTCCAGAACATCACGGCTCTTTGAGGATAGCAACCTGTATAGCGTGGAAGCTGACTGGAGAGGAGGGAGTCTTCTGGAGGACAGAAAATGAGGGAAGAACTGCAAAGAGAAAGTAAAAACAGACACATGTCAGATTCTGAGTTGTAATCTACCTTGGAAAAAGAAAGCCATGTTACTTTTTCTTTTACTAGATTATGTGATCTCATTATCCCATTCTTTTAGCAGTGTGGTGGGTAAAATAAATGAAACTGGACATAACATTGATATGTACTCTAAATTCCACTTTGGACTGGATTTCAACAATGATTTATACGGAACAGTTAAAGGCCACAAACCTTGGTTAGCAGTTATATTTTTGACAAGTTAAGTCCTTGTTAACCAGTAGGGAGTATTGCAAAGCGGAATGATTAATGATGCTGCTTCTCCTGTGTCTGTAAATCAAAATATATATTGTGTAGAGGTGGAATATTACAGTTACAACCATTTTGGGTCCACTTGAAGAGTTAGAGCAATTAATAAAACTTGTTCAGAGTAATCACCTTTATCCAATGATGAAACATTGGCAGTGGTCTGTTCCAGTAGGACAAAGTTTGAATTGTGAAACTTGAATAATCAATACAAAAGTGCACCAAAGCTGACAGTACCTAGTAACCCATCACCTCATTTTTATAACTAGTTTATAGCTTATTAAATTTTCTATATTTATGGTCTATTTTCCAAAAATTATAGGTAATATATTGTAACAATCAGAGGAAACATAAAAATATATTTTACTTGAAATGGAAAGGACCAAAACATCATGTTAATCCACTGATCTTGGACTGGATTTTATGTAGAAAATAACTGATCATCAGTAGCACATTTTTTCACACCCATGTCATGTCAGAAAGAAAAGACAGAAAGAAAAATTAACGCTTACCTCCTTTAAATCTCTCACTTTTCTCCTTTTTTGTAAACAGCAAATTCAGTGGCAACTACGAAGATGAGACGAACCAGAACAACCACTGCAGAAGTGACAGAAATCATCATGTCAGCAATAAAAGATGAGTAAAAAAAGTAAAAAGATCATAATGTGTATACAGTAGCCCCTTCCTGTTTTCACACGGAGCATGGGGTACTGTAATCTGTCTGGAATGTCACATTATGGTTATAGAAAATCTCTCCTTTAGACACATTTATGGATGTCCTTCCATCTTTCCTCCTGAAGATCGTGGCTCTCTCAGGGTAGAAACTTGTAGCTGGCAGCTGACTGGAGAGGAGGGAGACTTTAGGAGAAGAGACACTGAAAGAACAACTGCTGAGAAAAAGCTGTTTAAAACAAATGAATGATACATCTTTTTAAACTGTGTAAATAAATCATGTTCCATCATCTGATGCTATTTTTTCCTTGTAATAACACAGAATTAACAAGATTCTGTACTACACTGATGAAAGCAGAAAAATCCTTCCCAAGTAGTTTACATATAATGACTCTCTACTGAAGATGCTTTGCTGAACTCATAGACAGAGATGGGCAGTAACGCGTTACTTGTGTTACTTGTAACGCGTTACTGTAATCCGATTACTTTTTTCGAGAAACGAGTAAAGTAAGGGATTACTATTGCAAAAACGGTAATTAGATTACTGTTACTTTCCCGTAAGCACGCTGCGTCACTGTGTTACTAAAACCCTGATTTTCTTGCGAGAGTGTCTCATGACAATCAATCAATCAATCAATCAATCAATCTTTATTTATAAA